ACAAATGTCTCCACTTTTAAATTTCCTTTTAATCAGCATCAAGATTTGGAAAAACTGTCTCTTTTATTATCATAATAATTCTATCACAATAGGACACCAGTAATGATTTATCCTATAAAAAAAAAACTCACACACGCACTTATATTTAGATATGTTGTTGTCATGCCAGACAATTTATTCTGTTTTTATATTATATACAAATTAAAATTTATATTAGGGCTGAACAAATTATTCGGATTAATCATGATTAATCCGATTATTAAAATTATCATCAACTAATTTGGTAATTGATTAATCCTTAACTGGAGTATAGAGACTCTAAAAGATGCCTTTAGGTGACAGAGTGAACCACTTAGAGCAGTTATTACATCAAAATTGTAAAAAATATATAAATGTTTTGCATCTAAGTTAAAAAAAACTTTGTTACCTGTCAATATGCTCTATCCAGAAAAGCTTTAGTTTCACCTGGTTTAAGTTTGAAAAGGTCTTTAAGGAACCTTTGGCTACCCGATTATTGATCGATTAATGGAAAAAACGATCGACAGTGTAATCGATTTGCAAAGTAATCGTTAGTTGCAGCCCATTGTATATATTATATATATATTTTTAGTAAATTCATGTGTAAATTCGAGGCTGATGACCTTTGTCATTTAAATTTCATTTAAATGCACAATAAGTTAACTTTCCAAAAACTAAAATTTTTAACATTAATCGACTAATCAAAAATATTTATCAACAGATTGAGGAATTACCAAAGCAACTGATCACTGCAGCCATGGTTTAACTTCTTAATGTGTTATAAGGTAATTTTGCTCCTATTGTCTTATGCATCCAATGCAAAAAAAATAAGAGCTTGCTTTTTCATATGCAAAACAACAACCATTACAAATAAATAGTAGCATGGTGTTCAGTCATCCATGTAACACAGGGATATTTCTGAAAAGGAAAAACAGGAGCGTATAGAGGAGTAAACAACAAAACATGTCTCACTGGCTGATAACAATCCTTCCTGGCTCTATGTTTTAGAATTATTAAAGGGCATAGGAGAAGAAAAAGACAGGTGAGATATCCTGGCAGATTCTGAAATGATAAGACCCAAACGAGAGGGATCAGAGATGATGAAAGAAGGGGATCCACATGGAAGGAAATTTATCTCTCTGACGGTGTGAGGATTGATCCTCTGCAGGACATTATCAATTGTGGTTTTTTTGGAAGGAACTGAGGTTTTAATCATTTCAGGCAAACAATAAAACCACCTGCCTGATCTGCCTTAAATGCATCACTCCAGAGTGTCTGCTTAGATTTATCCCCTTCTGCACCATCTGAGTTTATATGATTTATGTTCTGCAAAACACGATGACAATAGGAACAAATACGTCTGTAAATGTTGAGAATAAGAATCGCTTTTCAGGGGGGATGCTTCCTATAGAGCACTATAGGATGATGACTTAAAATAGCACGCTGCAGCCCTCGCCAACGGCTGGATCAGGAAGTTGGATCCTCTGATCAGAAGGTTATCAAATATGCAGAAAACTCCATAATATAAAGAAATTGGGTGGGGCGCTGAATGTAAAATGATCATTTAAAAAATGAAAAAAAAAAAAATAAACATCATAAATCTCTTATCAGATTTCTTCTGTCCAAAGACAAACTGATCAAAAACACCAGACGAATTCTTAAAGAAACTTCTTTTTCAGGTGCTATTAAACTAAGAGATACACAACACTCAAAGCTTCACCAACTAAAGCTTCAGCTGACCACAGAGTCATAAGAGCAAACCTGCGGATGGCGCGTTGGAATCCATCATGAAAAATTCATTCTTAGATGTGACTTCCTGGACAGAAACCAACTGGATAATATGCGGAGCATTTTGGAGGCTACAACAAAGACCCTAACTTTTAAGCCTTTAACACCAAGAAAGAGTTAGAACCACAAACTCTGATGATTTATTAGGATATTACTATAGATCAGGATAGTAGAGCTCATGCTTATAAAGTGACAGGAAACTGATACATGCAATGCATTTTTTTTTGGCCTACCTAATCTGTGAAAGACAACACTGTAATCTCATGAGACCAAAACTTTATTTTTAGCCCATAATCCAGGGGTGTAAAAATATTTTTTATATAGGGCGACCTTCTATCATCAAATCTTTTATATCACCCGGTGCAGCTTTTGATTTCATCATTTAATTTACAAATACCACAATGCTCTAGTTTATAGCATTACTCCAATTTACTTTGTAGTTTTAACCACTTTGTATACTAAACCAACTGAGCTCCTGAGGGCCCGATAAATTGCCATGATGGGCTGCGTTCGGCCCACGTTCCTCAAGTTTGACACATGTAACAATGCAACCCACTACCTTAGGTGGAAAACTTAAACCCTCATCATGCTGCCATTCCCATATCATTTTCCAAATAACACATGGTGGTGGCAGTATCATGCTATGGGGCTGGTTACTGAAGCTTTTTAGAGTCACTGTGAATCTGGACACATGGTGACAGTCAAAGATAACCTGTTAGAGGTTCCACAGAACCTAAGACTAAAACTAAGACAGAGGCTTACCTTATGACAGCAAACATATCACTACAAGGATGTGCAAAGTGAGACATACGTTAAAATACCCGCAGCAGTAATTGCAACAACAGCTGGTTACACTAATAGTTGACCTGGGGATAGAATACAAACCTGCTCAATTCCTGTTTCTGTTTACACAATGGGGAAAAATTCTTGGGTAATTGACAGTTTTGCAAGACGGTGCGCATATTTTATCTAAATGTCAGCGTAGTTGAGTGAGCTTCCATTTAATTTCTTCTAAAACAAAGAACAAACGTAGGGTTATTCTATAAAACTGAAACATGCTGTCTGTCAGTTAATGTTTGTCCTAAAAGCTTACAGTTAAAAACCATCTAAAGCTGGTCTGCTTAGTTTTTTTTAAGGAATAGAAATGTTCAGGATTTATATATATATATACACAAGAAAGCGGAAAAATATGAAGCCAGTAAGGGCAAATTAAAAAGGTCCAAAAAATAAAGACTTGACTAGTTTTCGCCTTCCATATACTGAGCTGACTGGATTTCCCCTCCTTCATGTTGTTCCCAATTACTGCTAATAATGCCAAAAAGAAGCATCTGCAGAGTCTAACAAAAAGAAGCTTAGCAGGGCAGGAATTCAACCCATTACCTGAATATGCATGCAAACAGAAAAGACTGCCTCTGGAAGACAAAGATAAGAGACTCGGCAAGATGGGGGTGTCAAAATAGAGTAATAGGGATGGTCTGAACAAAAATGTTCTTAAATTACACTAAATAGAGGGGGAAATGGGGGGAAAAGGTTTGTGGTAAATGTACCATTTGGAAATCATTTCTGCAAACACAAAAGAAGCTAAAAAAGTTGTGGACAGTTATTTTATTGCATACAAATATTGAGTAAATGCAAACACTGAAAACCGTAATGGAGTTTAGAAGTATCTATTCATGCTTCAGTAACGATAGTATTATTTAGTCATTACATTCTGATATTATAAAGTAAGAATGAAGCAATAAAGAGAAGATGTTGAACATTTTATTGTCATTGGTCTGCATTGTTTAGTGTATTGGAAATTATTCCACACGTGGTTTTTGCAAAGTATAACACAGTTGTTAAAGTGTTTCTAGTTTGTAAACTAATTTTCATCCCTGTTCTCCATCCTTTTAAACGCCTATGATCAGTTCATTCACACTAAGTGTTTCATTTAATTTTCTTAGCACCTTGATAAAAATATTACAGAAGAGGGTTAGGGCTACTGAAAAAATTAGAAAAGTCAACTGATTTTTAAATTTTATTTCAGTATAATGTAAAAAAAAAAAGTCTGACTTTAATCTCAGAATTCTGAATTTAATCTCGGAATTCTGACTTTTTTCTAAGAATTCTGATTTTAATCTCAGAATTCTGACTTTTCTCTTATAATGCCAGTGTGTCACTGGCCCTCTCAAACAACTCACATCTTTTTTAGTGAAGCTGAGTGCTCCCACATCTCTTCCTTCATGGTGCCCATCTACATTAAGATCCAAAATTCTGAGATTAAAGTCAGAATTCTGGGGGGGGGAAAAAAATCAAAATTCGGAGATTAAAGTCAGAATTCTGAGATTAAAGTCAGAATTCTGAGAACAAGTCAGAATTCTGAGATTAAAGTCAGAATTCTGAGAAAAAAAGTTAGAATTTTGAGGGGAAAAAAGTAAGAATTCTGAGAAAAAAAAAGTCAGAATTCTGAGAAAACAGACAGAATTCTGAGATTACAGTTAGAATTCTGTGAAATAAGTAAACATCTGAGATTAAAGTCAGAATTCTGAGAAAAAAAGTAAAAATTCTGAGAAAAAATTCAGAATTCTGAGATTAAAGTCAGAATTCTGAGAAAACAGTCAGAATTCTGAGAAAAAAGTAAAAAAAATCTGAGATTAACGTCAGAATTCTGAGATTAAAGTAAGAATTCTGAGATTAAATTCAGAATTCTGAGAAAAAGGTCAGAATTCTGACTTTTTTCCCATATTAAACTGAAATAATATTTAAAACTCAGTTCACTTTATTTTTTTCAGTATCCCTAATCCTCTTCCGTAAAATACCCCTTTTAGGATTAATTTACAGGCAAATTATAATGATTTCTAATTAAATATGATAAAAAATGGGGCTGCATATTCAATATAAAAAATATTATTCAGTATCCCTAATCCTCTTCCGTAAAATACCCCTTTTAGGATTAATTTACAGGCAAATTATAATGATTTCTAATTAAATATGATAAAAAATGGGGCTGCATATTCAATATAAAAAATATTATTCAGTATCCCTAATCCTCTTCCGTAAAATACCCCTTTTAGGATTAATTTACAGGCAAATTATAATGATTTCTAATTAAATATGATAAAAAATGGGGCTGCATATTCAATATAAAAAATATTATTCTATATCGAATAAACAGTAAAGGCAGTAGCGACCATGGGAAGTTAAAGGGTTCTTACCGATGGTGGAGATGTGAGATGGGTGAAATTCGTTGTCCGTGAATCTGCATAACAAACATGTTTTCCCAACCCCCGAGTCCCCGAGGAGCAGGAGTCGGAAGAGCACATCGTACTGCTTAGCCATGGTGTTGTTTCATTGGGTCATGAATATAAAATAAATAAATAAAAGCTCTAATTGAGAGCAGAGTCAGCTAACTCAGCGATGAACGGCCTCTCTGTCTCCGCCTGGATGGCATGACTGTTCAAGCAAAGCCTCCTCAGGCTGCAGCTCTGCTTGTTTTTGTTCAACGCTGACAGAAAAATCAAAAACACTGGGATGCCTCAGCTTCCCATGCAACCTCCAGCTTCCAGTGGGTGCGGTGGACCACTGTCAAGTTACTGGCTGTGTGGAAAACGCACTTCCGTTAAGGCTTTTCAAAATAAAATATATACGCAAGAATTCGCCTCACAACTGCGGAAAAACTCCAGGGAGAAAAAAAAAGGGGAACAATCCCTTCAATTTTGCGTGGTTTCATGCATTAGAACTATATTGTGTAGGAATATGAGTAAAACATAAATAATAAATGCAGCAAATTCACTCTATGGTCAGTAAGGGTAAATAACTATATATATAAATATCCATCTATGTCCATCTATATAAATACCCATATAAATACCCTGTGCAATAACCCTGTATAATAATTCTACTATAAAAAAAGAAAAGAAATGTCATCTGTGGACGCACTATATATACTGTATATATATTTTTCTTCCTTTGGCACCTTTTTCTTCTCCTTTGACTATTTGAGCTGATGTTACGACTAAATTTCTCCACTATGTGATCAATAAAGTCATTCAATCAATCAATCAATCAATCAATCAATCAATAGAAGTAAACTAGAATTAAATTCGGAGAGTGCAGACCTCCACCAAGCAGGACATTATGCCTCATATTGTGACTTACACCTATAGCTAAAAACTGCACATTATCTAGCTCATTCCCAAATTTTAATCAATTGTTGCTGGGCATAAAGTACACCTTTGATAACAATTTCCTTACAATCCTTTCATAAGTGTATGAATAAGGCTCAGCGTGTGTCTGCAGCCTCTGGTGTTTGTTCTGCTCCCGCCTCCTTCATTCACTCTGAACTCTGCTTTCTTTGATCTGCAGATCGAGACTTGAAGCAAAGCATGGCTCACCTTTTCTGTGTTTTTGTCTTCAGTATAATACTTCTGAACTTTTTTGAGTCAGATGCTGACGCTATCAACAGTCACTGCTGCCACTCTCTGGTTTTAGGGCAGGGGAAAAAAAATCCTGAATCTGTATTAGGATGTGGATAATCACCAAATTTAATAAATTGTTCCTTCAACTGAGGTGCACCGTTCCGTTTGTAACTTTCCAAGTTATCCTGTACACAGATGGATGACAGACAGACAATCTTGCTGAAATACATAACCTCCTTGGCAAAAGATGGATTCTTTAACTTATTATATATATATATATATATATATATATATATATATATATATATATATATATATATATATATATATATATATATATATATATATATATATATATATATATATATATATATATATATATATATATATATATATATATATATATATATATATATATATATATATATATATTGTTAGTTTGTTTTGAAAGGTAACCTATATAATTTCCTTTAAATTTGGGTTTAAAAATAAACTAATGCGGGTCTTTTATTATCCTCCCTTCTATGAGATTATTTGTCAATTTATGCAATGAAGTATAATGAAGTGGCATTAAAATGATAGAAATAAATAGCTCTGAATGCACTGAATTAAAAAAAATTCACAATAACTCAGGTGTTCGTGTTTTTTTGTTTGTTTTGGTGAATGAAGCGGAATGGAAATGTTTTGTCCCATCTGACACGCCGTAGCTGGCTGCTCGCTCAGTTTTTTTACGCCCACTTCAGCGATAAATCAGAAAACTCTCCAAACACTCCGAGTGTGGACCTCAAAGCATCGTTACTGAATTGTTGTTTGCAGCGTGTCTTTCCCTCCATCATGGACGGTGTTCCCGCTCCTCTGCGGTGCTTCAGCGAGCAGCACACGGGAGAAATGTTTGTGGATGACGGAGTGGAAACGGTTACTTCAGTGGAGCAGGTGAGCTAACAACAGATTAGCTACATTGGAGCTAACGTTGCTCTGCTCTGCTCTGCTGATGGTAAAAGGCAAAAAGAATTCGCATACATTTATTTTCTTAACTCGTCTTAATTTTATGCAGTTCAGGAGATGTGTTCAATTACTTTTTCGGTTTATTTTATTCTTCTTTAGTTCGCAAACAAGCTTCTGCATAGCTGACAATCTAATCATAATGCGATTACCTTATTTATGCTCGGTACTTCCTTTCGGGCTTTGTCTACAATCTGTCAACATTTTAAAAACAAAGGAATCGTCTTTCTGCTTGTTAGAACTTTTTCTTAAGGCTAGTGAGACTTTTGCATAAAGAAATCGCAACGAAAACTAAACTCATTGCCAAATGTGCTGCTAGTCCAACAAATTACATTTGCGTTTTATTGTTAAATATGTGACTTTTGAGAATTTGAACATCCCTGATAAGAGCCCAGCGTTTGTGTTTTTGCAACATAAATAACCTCAAAGTTGTTTTTATGTAAGGGGACATGCATAACTCAGAAATTACAGTCGCGCAGGGGCGGAGCTAGATCGGGGGCCAGAGGTGGCCATGGCCACTCATTGGCCACCCCTACCATTTTTTTTTTTTTGGCCTTTAATACAGACATGGCAGCAGTAATACAACCAAGAGAAATTTTTTACTTACTAAACATTTTAATTTTTCATATATAATAATAGTTACTTGACAACTAAAATGCTGTGGTTAATTATGCACATTAAAATACTAACATTAAAGTTGATTTATACAGAATTCATGCTCTTTAAACACTAGGACTCCAAGGATTCGGATCCTGCTAGAACTCCCACTGGCCGTCAATTTGATGGGTGACATTTTTCCCAATGGAACGCATGAGTAGTGATGATGTCATTAACTGAAATTGTTCTATTGTGAGATCTAAACCCATTGTGCATATGTAAACCATAAAAGAAATCTGATATTTATTTTTTAAAAGGCTGTATTGTACGTTATTATTTCTGTTCTAAATTTGTATTAAAAGTAAATGCGTACAGTAGGACTGTTTTACTACACAGGTTCAAAGTTAATTATGAAATTAGAATTTTATTTACAGAAATTGATTGATTCCCCCCTGAATATTTCCAGCAGAACACCTTTTCACATTTATGGCAAACATCATATGAGCATTTTTCTGTGCAGCGCTGAAGCACCTGGCGCTGTTTTCTGTGCCTCGCCAAAGCTGCTCTTCAGCGGCAGAGGGGCTGGAAACCTGCAGTTTCCCCGCAACTGTTTTACCAGTTCAAGGATAAAATCTCTGCGTGAAAAAGTGACATTCAAACACCTCCTGAACAAAACCAATGCATTTATACCTGATATTTCCGGCTGAGTGAACCGGCTGAGATGTGGGCAATGCTTGAATAAAAGTTTTACTATTGTCTGAGGGGTCACTGATACATCTGCATTTTCCCGGGGATGGGTGATCATCCTCGGACTCGCTGTCAGAATCTGAGCCGCTTCCTACCCAGTCCTCCTCATCGGTCTGTCCCCCTCCGCCCGAATCACTATCATCAATATTTTGAAGGATTTCTAAATCCTGTTTCGCTGTTAGATTTCTTCTAAAAGCCATTTTTCCATGTTAGCCAAAGAGTTCTAGGTAGAATGTTGGTTGCTAGGCAACGGTACCGAACGTCAATCATCCGAATTTACAATGCAACTAATAAAGCTGTCAAAATGACGGCTGTGGGAGATCGAGGTAAATTAACCATATTTATTTTTTAACGTTTTTATTTTATTTAAAAAAACTACGTGAAAATAAAGGAAGTATAGAAACAGAAAAAGTCAGTAAATGTGAGCAACATAAGATTCATTTTAAATATAGTTCTTTCCCTTTAAAATCTCAGAACCATCAAAATGACGGCCTTGGGAGTTCTAGTGTTAAGACCCTAATTTTGTGTTATATAGGGTAAAGAGAAAATTATGTGTCTCTGCAAGTCATCAGGTAGTTTTCAATGAAATCATAGATAAAGGTTGCACAATGAACCTTTCTTTCATGATAGGACTCGTGCGCGCCTTGTCATGGCTGATGGTGTTTCCGCTGGCGGGTGTTAACGTACAGCAAACACAGAGAGATGGAGAGTGAGGAGGACTCCAGCAGTAAAACAGAGTTTTCCACATGGAAATACCGGTTTTACGTCGAGCTGCGTTTCCCCATCAGATAAGGTTTTCCCTGCATCTCCGCGCAGCGCAGGCGGCACGATTCACAGTGCAAGCGACAGGAAACGCGCATGCTGGCTAAAGGCGCGTTACAGCCGCCCTGTGCTCGCGCCACAGGGGAACTATTTATGTTGAGTTGCAATAAATGCAAAACTCTCTGCAGGTTCTTGTCTTTGTCGTCCGCTCTATTCAGCTGGCTTTTGAAACACACGGCGAGAAGGTGGGGGCAGGGTGGAGAGGGTTACAGGGGCGAGAAACGCAAAAGTAACGCAATAGTTACTTTTACTGGTAACTAGTTACTTTCATTGTGGAGTAAATCAGTTATTAACTCGGTTACTTTTTTGGAGAAGTAACTAGTAACTATAACTAATTACTTTTTCAAAGTAAAGTGCCCAACACTGCAAATAACTTACCTGTAACCTGGTTCCCACGTATGGCATAAGCTGGAATGCGTCAAGAAATGTTGAGCTTTCTCAATTGCTGATTTACCTCCTTTAGCAAAGCTAAAGTTTGCAGATCATGCAAAGAAATAAAAGGATCTCACTGCAGAGGAATCATTTGGGAAAAAAATCTCATTGCGTACACCGCTTCCAAGTAAAATCAGTCAATAATGGGGAGAATATAACGGACCACAGAGGCATTTTTCCATAACTTGTGGCTAAAGCTATTCAGTAATGTTGCCAAGCTCCAACAACCACTGGCTGATTTCTACATGTGACAGTTTCCTGTATTCAGTTTTTGGACTATGGAGTCGGGATGAAAGACCAAAAACAGAAGAAAGCTCAGGGGTGTTATGGAAATCATCCACAAATCCTCTGATTACTTTAACAGACTGAGTTATTTCACTGGTTGAAATGAATCTACAGCAGCATATTCAAGCAAAAATGCTTTCAGATTAAAATATGTCTGAATAATCTAATTCATAATGGGGTAGAAGATCTCAAAATAACTTATTTAAAGGTTGTTTTACTCAAAAGAAGTGGACAACAAACCTTACATTGATATGGGGTTTGGATGAATAAATGCAGATTACAAAAAGACAG